TTCGGGTTCGCCTTTTCCTGACGTCATAACCTTCTGATTCCGCGTGAAACTCAATTAGCTTCATTGCTGTGTCAAGCGACGTGACATATTGCGCAGATAAAGGTGCAAAAAAATTACAGCGCGGTGTATCAATGTGCTTGATTGCCGTTGGGGATACCCTAGTCACCGAGGTTACCACTTATCAGTACACAAAAGCTGGAAATAAGTTAGAAATTGCGCTCACCATGTATAATTAGATATATACTATTTTAAATTGTGCGTCCGTTGCTTCTGATTCGTCAGACAAGAGGTTACACTAGAGTGTGTGGTCCATATATTAAAAAGACATGGTCTAGACATCAGGGTTCTAACATCGAATGTACTAATTGAATTTTGGAAGGGATATGTTATATATATGATTCTAAGGTTTAAAAGTTTATTTGACTGACGCTGTTTATTATAGCTTATGTTATATAAATTCAGCTAAGGCTGACTCTATATATGGTAAGGAATAAGTGCTTGGACGCTATCGCTAATACACAACGTCAAAACAACCTTCCTACAGATACTATATTACCCAGAAAATTATTGTATGAGGTATATTAAAACGATTTATACATGATACAATATCAGCCTGGAATTTACTTTAGAAGATATAAAAGGAAATTTGTAGACCCAACGAATTCGTTTTACTTATTATATATCACTTCTTGCAGTGGCAAGCGTCTTACTATAATAAGGAGAGACTACTTTCGCTTGAACGCGGCCGAGAAGTACGTGATCTCAGTGCAAGAAATCCGTAAAAAAATGTTTGTATACATTTATGAAGATAAGTTGTAAGCAGCTTATTATTGATTTTGGACAAAACTAGATGTTCTAGAAGCAAATAGTCTATCGTCGCTCTCGCTAATATTTTATTTCCCAAGTCCGATCTAAAGGTTAAGTATTGAGGTTGTAGAGTGACAAACAAGCGCAAATTTGTGCTAAAAACGCACTGAAATTGAGCAAGTCATGTAACACGACCACTTCAGAGAAAGGATAGATCACACTTTAAATTTGGAGGCTTCACAATCTCAAGAAAGCTCAAGTCATCAGCATTATGGATTGTGTCGGTTTATTATGTGGCCCAATTCTATACAAAACATCTTGACTAATCGTAATACGAAATTGGTCGTTATCGGGCGCTGTGTAAAAAATTAACTACCTCCTACAGTATTAATCTTTCCCTTCCTCAATTAAATATATGGCTTTAGAGCAAATGCGAAGGTCTCGATTCAGCGCAATTTTTATGGTTCAGACGTCCATTAGATTGTTCAAAAGAATGCGAATCGATGTACACGTCAGAATCTGCGTATGATAAGCAACATGCAAGACCGCCTCTCGTAATAAACTTTTGTCACACACACCCATTAATGTGCCCGCGATAGATCTGTGAAGCACATACCTTTCACTTATCAATATCGGCATAATGGCATCTGATCATCTAATTACGGTATGAGACAATGGTGATTAATATGATCGCTATCATTATATGATAGAACTTCGTACAATCGATATTCTCAATAAACACATCGTATCGGCAAATTAGGCTCTCCGATTTGAATCAATAAAATATGTAAATACGTAAAGAAAGTAGTCAATTATTATGGAATAAATTAATCGCGGTGAATGAGAGGTAATGAAACTTTGCCTAACTGTTCAAAATATGTAATGACTAGATTGTTCTATGTATATGTCTAATACGTGTACATGTCAAAACTGTAAAAAATTTAGTATTACATTGGACTACTTAAATTTGCGTGAACATAAATTACGAGTGATAATTTTACTAATATAATCTAATATATACGAGACAAGCGTAATAAAGGGTGCGTCATGCGCATATAAAAAAGATAAAAAAAATTAGTTATCGTTTAACAAAGACACGATAAAAATGAAAAATATGTTTAAGCATATATTTTGAGAGAGTACACTCTGATAGAGCCTTCATTTTATACAGTTTTTTTTGCCTCTTATATTACTTATATGTGAAAATCATAGGCACTAGCTTAACTGTAGTCAGTGTAGGTGAGTATTACAATGCACGTATATGCATCGTTCCCTGCTACACTAAAAAACGATTATTTGTGTGTCGAAAGGTCTAATTTATTCGTGTATAACGTCAAGTTTGCAAATTAAGATCACATAGTGTACCTCACTTATGGAGAGTTTTGCCGTTACAAAGCGTGTAATGGATTGACATGTATTATACGGAACGTTATAGGATCTACCGTCAGCGCCATGTTAGGTGATTGACAAAAACGACCATCAACATGCTTCAACACCTTATCCATCTAGCAAAATAGTAATGCCTAAAAGTATGAAGTAATGTATGGACGACCATTAATTATCCATCACAGCTATCAAAATGACAAGATGGATATCATTCGAAAGGATCAGACAACAGCGGCCTAACCTACTACTTTTGTGTCAAATCCGATATTACAAATTTTAACATCTTGAATGCTGATATCTCTACGTACGTAGGGAACTTGTCGCATCATCAGCTAAGCAATGGTTGCATTCTCACGACAATAAGGGTCGGGTGTGGCCAATCTTGATCCCCATGGTATGGGCTTACCCCTCGAATGCGTTTGAGTCATTGAAGGGCTTTTAAGAAAGGATCGGGTACAAGTTTTAAGCCACCAAAGGCTTATAAGTTAAGAAATTAATCATATATCGTGAATTAATAGACAGGGTTGGCCTGACGAGCACGCTCGCAATCAGCGCATTCGCCATCTAGCGTATTATGTGCTGTTTTAAGAATCATGAGCACACATCTTTTGAACCAGGCTTTAAGCTCAGTGTGTAAATCGGACCTATTTAAATCTGTACTTTTTAACGTAGAAGGTACAACAGGCGAAAGTCCTTCATTATACAAGCGCTTATAAAAAACACACTTTATATAAATATTTAAATGGTATAATTTTGATTTGGTTGTTTATATTGCGATTCTACTTAGTATTTATCATCAACTTCGTCGTTACTTCCTACCTTTCGTATTGCATTTTTATATATTATGCTGACCATGAATTTTTATCTTATTTTCGCTTCGGTTTAACAAATGATGGTATCGTGTCCCATCTTTTGATTTAAAAGGGGCAAGGTCACTTATTGATACCTGAGATCTGGCGCCTATAACATAGCCGACCTGTAAGTCGTCCTGCCGAGCCTCAGTTCAACCTTAACAATCCATTATACCCAAAGGTTTTCTTTCGAAGTAATCCCACTATCGTCTTACCGATTGGCAAAGCATCAGCTGAGAGCACGCGATGCGTTTCCAAAAGCAATTTTTATACGTCAATCAGAAGTCTGAAGGAGCTTGTAGCATAATTTAGCGAGTCAATACGCTCACCTCTGGTTTTAGACAAGCCAAACAGTATTTGCGCTATAAGCTGTATTCAGTGAGGTTCCTGACTACTATGGTTCAAGCCAAGAAGCGTTTGGGAAGAACGAATTTTATCTAGTGTAAGTGCCATTAATTAGCACCAAAGTGACCTTTAAGTACAAAGCGTTTGGCTCATGGACGACGAAGAAGGAGATGTGGTGACCGTCTGACGCATATGTGATGTATACATTTTGCAAGATCGTTGTGGTATGTTTGAGTCGGACTAACGGGCTCACAAACGTACCAGCATCAGCGCACATACCAGTCGTGATGGCGATGAACACAGCTTTCTTATGATGGCAGATATATGGCGAATGCAGCAGACACGTGCTATATGTCGAGGATTGTATACGTGACGCGAAGAGTCACTATTTGCTCAGCAGCTCTAGCTCTTCATTACTCGTAAATGAATCTAATTGTAGATATTCTCGTGGTATTTGTATTGGCAGCTTATGTATACTACGTAATCGGGCTACGTTCCATCGCGCCGTCGTGTCGATCGAGGCTAGTGTCAAGGTCTTTTGGGACACAGGCATGCGGCAACTCCGAGCAGTAGCAAATGTGAGTACCGGCGAGACGACATGCAGATAAACGGCGCCCGCCTATGACGATGCCAATGTAAAATAGACAGGCTATTCCGAAAGCCGTCACCTCAGGTGACACGCCCCATACAACTGCCGGACTCGACTGAGGAACCGGCGTTGCTAACTAGGCTTAGGATTTATCAGACATCTATCAACAATTACACCGTGAATGATCTTGTCTACCCCTCTTTCTTCATCGCTCGGAAACGACGATTTTGTATTGTGACAGCGCATGCAATTCTTACGGGAGGACGAAGCACCGCACTTCAAACGTACTGTTTTTACGCAATCGATCCCTTTGAATGATTTATCTTGCTCTTTGAGAGTCTAAACTGAACACATACTGGCCCTTCCTGACGTCTTTATCTGTGCGAGAGCATTGTGGCACACTCTGCAGCCTGCTCACAGGGTAGAGTGCGTATGATGAGCACACGCGCATTACCTGCGTAGGCACGTGACCATGCAAAGGATCGGTGTTATTTAAAACAAATATTAATCAGTGTGACCACAAGCTTGCACTGATTGTCACAATCTGCCGTCAAATCGAACACTTAGCCTGAACGCGAACGGCAGGGATATTTCATCACGGTCATTCAGTTCGACAAAACGGATTGCCAGGTGATGCGACTCGATCACAAATTCAAGCTGATATCTAATTTCGTACCAATTATAGCACGACCAATGTTAGACGCACACTTTGTGTCTTGCTTGACGGTGGCGCATTCGCATGGTATTTCCAGCGGGCTGCCGCTTTTGCCTCAGGACACAAACGACGACAAAAAAGCAATGTCTTGATGCACTCGACATTACATACATGCCATTGATTTTACGTCCCACAGCAGCCACCCTTCCTAAATAGTTGTCCAACGCAAACAGAAAAAGTAGTACTCACGTGCTGCCGCCCACATTCATCTTCTCCCGCGAGGTATCACCTCTCTCTTCGGGTATCTGCCACACTGACTAAACTTCATTATTCTTCAACCTTCAGATTCTTAACACAAAATTGTAATTCAGACCGCCACGTCTTCTTTCTCCTCCTCTTCTTCTCCAGCACTGCCAACCGAATACCGACCAGCGTGCACCCGCGACTCGTTTCGGGGAGTAGCTGGTATCATCACGTACACTGACTCTTCATCCGATTCCTTCGAAACGTCCGACCCGTGGAAAAGCGCTGCCGGTATAGAGCCGTAGCTGGACTCGTCCACGCGGTCGTGAATCTGCACCACGTGCACGTCAAACGGCACAGCGAGCGTCGACGTGATACCAATCACGGATTCCCTGCTTTGAGCAGCGGCAGCAGCTGATCGGCGTTGGCACTCGTGGTGCGCGTCCCTGAGCTGCGCCAGCTTGTGATGCAAGCGGTCATCTTCTCCGCCGCAGCGTTTGACGTCCTCACGCCAAGACGCCAGACGCAGCGACATGCGCGAACGCCGCGCCTGGTACATTCGATAGGCTCCGTTGATGCCCATTCGATCGCCTTGTGGCGGATCCTCCAACTCCCTCAACGTCCGTAGATCAGCCTCATCGTAGCGAACGCGCCGCGGGACGCTGCAGTCCCTGCAAGCGAAGACAGCCCGTAGTCGTTCGCGGTATGTCACGTTTTTCATGAGCATGAGCAGCAAGGGCGAGACGCCAATCACGACAAGCGCCGCAAAAATAAGGTATTGTAGCAGGTCGCGCGTGGCGCTACCTGACTCGTCATTCGCCATCACTGGATATTCCGAATTGGTTTGCTGACTTGTTGGGCACTGGCAAATTTAAGAATCAGCCTTTATACTGGTCGCCTGTATGCAACTTCGAGTACTCCTGCTCATCTTTCTTTGCTTGTATATGTAAGTAAAAAAAGACAAATTTTACGCTGGAAAACGAGGAGCAGTTGCTTCCGCAAGTTCAACTTGAGGGCGGGTCATTCTTTTTTGCCTAAGTTCAAACTTCCTGTGGCCGTACAATAATTTGGTCTCGCAGTACGTCCTCGTCTACAAGTCGTGCTAAGCCATTGTCGATTTGTAGAAAGGTCTCTCCTCGACTGGCGGCCAGCGCGTAAATACGAGCATACGTCAGCAACAACGCTGCGTGGGCAATCTCCGCTGAATCCCTGAGCACAGGGTACGCTGGAGTGCACTTAGCTAAGCGTCATGCTCAACGTAAGCACGGAAAGCTGTTGCAGTCAAGGATATGATATGTGACATATAAATCGGAAGCCGGCGAATAGTGGTAAAAAGTGCGCGAGTTCATGTGTGTTTGGTGCAATGTCTCATTTATAATCATTTATGTTTCTCGAAAGCGACAAGAGCGCTGCATAAAAGACCGCTGTCTAACAATTTATGATCATGTTAATCGCCGCTACCGTATCCGTCAACCTGGTCAAGTGATGTCTTACGCTTAATGACACTTCAGATTGTCTCGCGCATTTAAAAGTAGGTGCGCAAAGCTCTCGAAATTTGTGACGTGAAAAGCCCTGAGATTTTGACGTGACCGATTCTGATAGTGAGACCGGCACCAACTTCAACGGTTCATGCGCAGATGGTCAGTGAAATTACTGAATCAGTATTGAAGGCATGGTATAGAGTCATCAAAACTATCAGCGAACAGCAGCCGACTGTCGGACGCTCCGCCGGAGTGCGGCCGGTCTAGACATCGTCTTCTACGCGCATCCGCACGTCCACCAGGCGTTAAAAAACCCAACCATTTTGGTGGTCGAAAGGGTCAGGCATTGCACTTCAACTGACGGTGTCCAGACTCGAGACCGCAGCGCGTACTAGCGCTTGGCAAGCGGCGGCGTTATCACAGACTTCTACTTCTCTGTGGGCGCAAGGTGCAAACGTTGACTCCTCTTGTCATGAAGCTTCATTGCTGTCGAAGGGTGACCGAGACGCTAGAATACATCTTCTGTTCCTGCCATTGCGCGCAGTCCTGTTGGCAGACTCTTATCTGCCATTGGACGGGAGAACGCTAAGGGATGGATTAATTACACGTCTTCCGATCCAATAGCGCAAGCAGGTATGCGCCAATGCTATCCAAGGCGGTCGAAGACCGTTTTAAGGCGAGATCATTTTGACGAAGATACGGAATATGCGCTGGTCTGGAGGAAGCTCTGGCGTCTGCTGAGCAGCATCTGTGTAACTGCGTCGTGTTTCTAACGCAACCGAATCGCTTTTCACCGCGCGAGGCATCACACTCGCCGGAAGCGTCGAGGAATTGTGGCAAACCGGCATGCGGCAACTACGGGCGGTATCTAAGCGGGAATTCCGCAGGGGCGAGACGAAAATTCAAGGAGCACGCCTGGTATTGTCATAGATCGCCTGGCAAATAAGAGAGCCGTCACCTACGGTGACCAGCCCTGTACAACCACCGGACTCGAGCGAGGTACCGGCGTTGATGAGTAGGCTTAAGATCTATTATACATCTTGCAACCGGTAAATGGTTTTACAGACAGGTGTGCTTCTCTCTCTCTAGGGTCAATGAAATCGATAAGCGGAAGGGCGAACCGCTGAATTTGAAGCATCGTTCATGCTCTTGCTAAGCAATGATCATGACGGCGACATACAACTCGCAGGAGACGGTTCCTACTACTGCACTTAGGTTCAAATTGAGCAAAAACATTGGGGACGGTCAGAGCTACTTCATGTATTAGCAAACAATTGTTGGTTGATGCAGCAGGAGTGTACAAGGCAACGATAAGTGTTCATACAAAAAGCCAGCAGGACAAGTCAGATGGTAAGTGTTAACGTAGGAGGTTGGCCACAAATAATGGGGAAACGTAAAAAAACACCAGTGTTCGCCTAAAAAACACCGTTACGATGAGGCTATCCATTAACCTTGTTTAATATATACACAAAAGGGTAAAGAAAATACCGCTTTCGATTGAGCTTCACTAGAAACGTTTCTAAGATAAGTCGGACCCTCCGCTTTTTGACCGGAATGCGATCGAACACCTTCGGTCTGTCGCGGGCAAAAGAGAGACTTTGGATCACATTTTTTGGGGTTGTCCAACCGCCCAGGGTTGCTGGCTTACACTTATAACCTACTGGACCGGATGCAAGGGAACTCCGACCAGTATGCAGCCTCATGCGACTTTTTGCATGTCACGGACGTCCCCGCCGTTAAATCCGATCATTTCACGGCGGCTGCTGAGCGCGTTTGGACATTCAATGGAGGCTTATGTGTGTCAATGGAAGCGCATGTGGTGTGTATTATGTTTAACATGTATCACGATTATATGGGTTCAGCGCGATCGGGTCGCTCACGAAGGTCTTTCCGTCACTTTGGCGGAATGTATGTACGAATACATGGTTCAAAGTTTTCGGCAATTACACGCACTAGCGATGCGGGAGTTTAGGAAGCTACACACCCAGGTGGCCGGAACTCGTCTTATGCAATGCATCGGGCTGCTCAACATGGTCCCATCTAGAGCACCGCACACAGCGGTTAGACTCGTCCAACCACCGGATCATTCAACACTGGCGTTGCTATCGTGGCTTAGGTCTTTCCAGACGTCTTGTACACCATAATTTCGTATAATAGACAGTCTGTTCCCCTCTCTCTCTTAAACGGACTGCAGTCTTCACTTGCGAGACGACGGCTCCTGCAACGGCGCAGGTACAAGCCAAGGGCGTGAAGGCAACATCTGTAGCGACGAATTCTGAACCGGTGGAGCTTGCCGCTTTTGAAACATAAGCGGCCCCGGACGAAACAGTCTTTGCAGCGGCGGGATTGGCTGCGTCGTCGCTGTGAGAGCGAAAGGTAAGATGGTAGCGGTATGTCCAACAGCATTTACATTTTAACACACCCATTACTTGTTGATATGGACTATTGACGCTCTCCTTAGCATTACGTCGGCAAGGACATGTCTCCTCGGCATCATCTATGGGAGTCAACAAAAAGTAACCTAATGATGGCTTTGCGCAAAAGATATCTCGTGCAACCAGAAAGTAATAAACCCACGCCATTTTAGTTTATGGTGTGATCGGTCGTGCCATATCAAATCTAAAACACACACGCGACGCTAGTTAGCCGTGTTGCACAAAACCTGTCAGCAGCATTACCAACCTGCTATTACTTCCTCGAGAGGAGAACAAGTATAACCATGTTATAATACTGCAATAAACGCCGATGGGAAATAGGACGGCTTGTGCCAGCGTGAATTCAAGTAGACCGGTGCCATATACTGCAGTCTCCTTAACAACACATTTCATTTAGCTCCAATATCGATGGTATTTACTTCACACGGCATTGCAAGGACCTAATGCATTGTGCCAATACAAGAAGCAAGCAACGTCGGGTTGATCGTGGACACCGTAAGTCGCATCGACACGTTTAGAAATTTTAGCATTAAGTCGATCATGGTGACCACGATCGCTCCAGACCCCCTGCAACCATCGCCACAACATTATTGACCAGCTGTCAATTCTCGTACCTCATTTTATCTTTACGCACACCCACGTACCTGGACTCTACTAGTAGTAAAAACTTTGCACCAGCAAAAGAGTTGTTAAATCCCAGAACGCGACACCAGCGTGGGTTTGCTAAACATCGATAACAACACGACATAAGAAAATACCAGCAAAAGCAATATACACAACAAAATGTGGTTTAGTTTGCTAGTCACTCAGTCATCAACCACGTCGAAAAAGCACAATTTCTCTCTCTTTCTTGCATTGCTTTGGCTATGAGTCCACAAACTGCAACAGCCCGTCCCTCGTATCCTATTATTGTCTACTCAGACGGCGGGAGAAACGGCCGAGAAAGAGAAGTACAGGAGCAATATCGAGGAATGCGCCGTGAAACAATCGACGTGACGGCATGCACGTGCAGCGATTGGTGAGCGTGTGCAAGGGCGAGCCCTGAGCCGTCGTCTCGAAATTGAAGACTGCAGTCCGTTTAAAAAGTGGAGTGTCCGACTTAGCTTAGAAACGTTTCTAACAAAGTTCAATCAAAAGAGGTATTTTTTCTACCCTTTTGTGTATATATTAAATAAGGTTAATGGATAGTCTCATCGTAACGGTGTTTTTTTAGGCGAACACTGGTGTTTTTTTACGATTCCCCCAAATAATCAGATTGGCGTTATGCATGGCTTGTAGCCTATTAAAATCAAATCCTCACGTACATGCCCTACCCGCGAAGTGCTTACAAACATACAAAAAACGAACAGCCACGACTAGCGTGCGCACAAGCCCGTCGGCTTATCGGCATTTAAATATTTATTGCAATTGCGCTCGGGCTCTGCGTCGATTTTCCAATGGCGAAAATTGAAGCGTCATAGCCCTGAAGAGCTACATCGGATCCAGCACGCACGTGGCCGGTGATGCCTTTTGGCATAATTCGCGCACGCTTGTCGACCACAACGAATATAACGAGGTGAGCCCATTACATGAAAATTGGTACGAAAGTATCAATTTTTATACATAATCTAAATAGATTATATTTAAACAACAGCACTTGAGAAGAGGTGATGTTGGCGAAATGTTACCTCGAGAGTAACATTCTTCAGGTGCTCTACTTATGGTTGATGGACGCAGTCCATCAATCGGATTAATTTTCAATCGCTGCTAGACGCGCGCAAGGGGTGGTCAGCAAAAAACCGACATAGTAGATTGCAGTTATATATATTTAGACAAAGACAAGATTGTTTGTTAAAAGAAACTTAACTATATTGTTAAAGTTATACGTTCTCCTTTATACGGAAATTTCAGGTCCTGCCTATATCATT